GACGAAGAATACGAAACCGGTCTACATTAATAAATCATATACTATTTTCATTTCGTATTGGTTGACACTACACATTTGATCTTTGGTTGATAAGACAAACTAGCTGTATAAAAGATATACCTTCTAGTACACCGACCCGTCGGCTCAGGTAGGGTGTTCCTATATGCTTTGATAAAAATCAATTAAGAAATCACTTCATCCTTCAAATATTTTATAATTTCATATGTAAATATAATGTACATGCTAAAAAGCTAAAAGTAATTTCACTTGATTTGAACTTGAACATTTTTATTTTATGTTGGAATTTTAGATCACCCTAGTGAAAGATCAGATGACCTGGTCACTGGAATGTGCTAAGCTCAGGTCACTGGTTTCCTGATCAGTATACTGACTTTTCAAGCGCAGGATAAGAACTCAAGACCCATACCGGATTTCCTGGTCCGTAACCTGTTCTTTTTCGAGATTAGTATCTGATTTTCTGACCAGTATCCTGATTCGCTCAAGAACACGATCTTGATTTCTTGACATCGAGTGCATCTGAAGTGCATCGAATCAGCAAAGAAGCTTGTTCATGTCACGAAAAGGCATCAATAAGATTTACATTAGACGTATTAATGCACAGTTAGTTTGAATGCTGTAACCTGATACGTTCTATCCGAATTGTAACATCATTTTATCTATCCAAGATGTTTGAGCTCAGCTGAAAAAACAGGTTCTCGAAATCTACTTTTCATAGTTAGTGCTAGTCTTTATTCTTCAATTATAAACGAAATATTTCTCAAAGGCATATGCGTATAGATAGAGACAGTTGAAAAACCATATGGGCTGTTAGAATGTTGGACGGACTCTAAACGAGATACCTGAGTGGGGAAAGCGGCGTCATATACAGCACAGGCATAATCTAGCTTACTAAGGATACAATTATTATAGATTTCAACACGAATATGAGCGGGTGCTTGTTCAAACTGCCTGGCGTTGCCGACAGGTTCGCAAAAGATTTCTGTATGAACTCGCCATCTTAGTTTACAACTTATTTTCTCACCTGGAAATGGAAGAGGTCAGTCAATTCATACAGTGAAGCTTTATAGTATAAACATGAATTCATAGTATCGACTTATCATATCAATACCACACAAATACACTTTCGCGTTTTCACAGTATCACCGTACCATAGCATGACCTTCATAGTTTCAAAGTTTTACAGTATCACAGTGATACTATGAATTTCATAGTATCACAGTATCATAGTATGACTTTCATACTTTCATACTGTATTCATCTAAGAAGTAGTGCAATGCTGCCTTGTAACTCACTCTCATGCTTCTTCCTGCGCCCCCAGATAGTCAGCTATAATAGTGTGACCTGTCGAAGTGGTACTGTGGAACTATGAAAGTCATACTATGATACTGTAATACTATGAATTCACAGTATTACTGTGACGCTGGGAAACTATGAAACTATGAAAGTCATACTGTGATTGATGTTTATACTGTAGACCTTCACTGTATCAATCAACAGCTGTGAAATGGAAAAAAGCCGAAAATCAGGTATTGGTAAGACTAGTCACTGGTTTCATGACCAGGATCCTGATTTGTCTGACCAGGTCATCTGGTTGTTCACTAGGGCAATTATGGTCATCCTCAACAAATAAGCGTTATAATCGTTCGAAGAAAGTGAATAGACAAAATAGAGGGAGAGAGAACTGCATATTTTCGATTGGTAATAGCAATTACTATTAAGAACCGTTCATATTGAGTCACGTATTATTTTAGATGTTACTAATCAATACCATTTTTTATGTTATTAGTTTTTTATCAGCCTCATCTTGATGCTGCTCTATCAGTTCCATTTAATACAGGCAGTAAGGGGACATCTCCTATATCCTGATCGGGATATGGCTCCACACTGACAGGACATGTCGATCTAATTACTAGAGATTCTTTTAGAAGTAATTTGTATCAATATTTTTCTAAAAGAATTTTAGAAAAGTCTTCGGTCTTAAATTCATGCCCTGTGTCTTGATAGTGTGAAGATAGATCGATATCAGGTTATTAGAACAATTTTATTTAGAATCTAGGGAGAAGAACTTCAAAAGTTATTCTGATCGAAAAACTCTCCTATAAACAGTATTTTCCGATCTCAAGGTATGGTTCAAACCGGCCATCAGGAATATTAACAATATCGATCTTGAAAAAATACCAACAATGTTTGTATAGAAAAATTCTCAAGATCGAAGATGAAGACGAGAAGCTATCATTACCTTCATATCGTTTATTAATTGCAAGTAAAAGAACTGAAAAATAGTTGCACTAAATATTTTAACTCATATTTTACTTAAAACCAAACGAACTATCTTTCGTAATATTCCAACTGGCAGTATTCAAAATTTGTTCTTCCTAAGAAATGCTTACAGAGACACTTCATTTTCTTCATTCAAAAGTAGAATATGTCACCATTATCGAATGTACCTTGGAATGTCAATTTACTCGTAGATACATTTTTCTTTTCTTTTTCTATGCTTCGTACGATAATAAAATTAAACTTCAACATAATCAGTAACTGAATCCAAACAATCAATTTTAATATTAATTCATTTGATCATGTAGAAAAAAAAAATAAAAAGAAGAAATCATTACTTCATTTACTTTAGAAACCAAAAAAACAAACAGTTAGTTTAACTATTATTGTTATTATTATTGTGTTTTTTTATTCCATTATTATTATTTTCAATAATAGAGTAGATGCAACAAAAATACGAGAATATTTTGACATTTACATCTGTCCAAGTCTGATTTAGTGATCGATCTTAATTTTATCATTTGAATTCTCAATTATTATGGATAAAATGCAGCATACATATGAAAATACTCGTGTAACAAGAGTAGGACAAATAAATGTAAGTTAGAAACAGAAGAGATACTCAAAACTGATATCTTCATTCACTATAGAATGTGTATGGTAAGAGCAAAAAGGATCATGGAAAGAAAAGTCGGGTATGTAAGTTTGTACAAACGCATTTGAATGATTATGCCATTTTGTATATGTCATACGATGATCTGAAAACTCAAAAAATGAAAAACCGTTTTTCTCTTCGTATAATTCCTATTTATGTTAGAAGCAAATAGTAACTGGAGCATATTTTCTTGTATTAAATTAAATTCTCTTGAATGTTTGCTAATATGCCATAGAATGAAGCAACATCAACAACAGCACAACAACAAGATTCAAACGTAAGTGAAATTCAAAAATTACAAACATTTAAGAAAACTATGTTTCTATATGAAAAAGATTCATAATGGTCCTTCTGAACAAACAGTAAACTTACATCCGAATTTACAACAAGTAAGCTTCATCTTTTATATACTTTTTAGTCATTTGTCTTTGAATTTCTATTGTTTAAAAAAATAGTTATTGAGAGACTCTTTTTTATTGATGAATCATGTGCGAAAGGAAAAAGAGGATATGAGTGTGCATCAGCGAAAATTAGTTTTTCTAAAAGAAGAAGAAACCACTAGTTATTCTCCTTAAACTCTGTTGCAAAAGAGTAATAGCAATCAATTACGTATGATCTTGCGAATTAAAGCTTTAGTGTAAGTCACTTCATTGTCTCAAAATCTTGGTTTTCCAGCTACTTTTATCGAAAACTGTTTAAAAATTAACAAAGCGCAATATTTTGCGAAATGAACAAAATTTATGGTTTTCTTTGTTGGTAGCATATTTTAGTATTCTGATTTACAATCTAATCAAAATGAAGAAAATATAATTAAATCGTCGAAAATGTACATTATAGTTGTGATTCTTTGTAATAGAGTAATTTGAAATTCGATAGAAGCCTTATTAAGCAAAGATAAAAAAGCAATTTTCTTGGTACAAACATTTGACCTAACAATTCAACAAAGAATTTCTATTGGGGATATCATACAAACTTAAAACGTCGTTCTAGCTTTATTTTTGAACACATCGTGTAAATAACGACACGTGTATACGTACACGCTTACATCAGACCTTTAAAATGATTTCATAGAGCTTATGATCGAATTTAAGGAATAGAAGAAAAGTTTTTTTGATCTTTTGAAAACTAGGGACCATTTTTGTTTGTGAGTGACTGATGGCTAGTTTCTTAAGGATACTTCTCCCCTCCCTTTTTACTTGGCTGTCGATGTACGGAGCACACGTCTGATTGAGCTTAAATTTATACCAAAGATAGAAGAGCGAAAACAAAAATCGATGCATTTTTGCTCAGAATTTCGAGACATGATTTTCCATGAGTTTTCGGGAAAACTGCAGTTTCCATCCAGTCACATTATGACCTCTCGAAAAAATAGTCCGATCGAGTCGAAATTTCCACCAAACATACTCCAGACACAATCTCATGTTAGAATTTTTTTTTCGAAAAATCTGCGTTTCTTCTCGAGATGTTGGGAAAATGCTGAAAAATAGAAGATGATGCCGTAAAATTCTGACCAAAAATACATCAATTTCTTTTTTCGTTCTTCTATCTTTGGTATAAATTTGAGCTCGGCCGGACATGTGCTCCGCATTTGGCAACAAGGTGATAAGAGATGGGAGGACGTACCCTCATGGATCCTCCCTTCAGAAAAAACTTTTTTGTCCTACATCCGATTTTGATGACACTCTCAGCCAATATTTGCCCTATCAAAGTGTGGTTATGAAATTTTTTTCCTTGCTATCTTATACTGTTCCGGGGTTTTCCAGAGTCCAAGGTCAAAAAACTGCCCTCCGCTGTGGGACACTTTTTTTAAATATACTTTAAGCTAGAGACCTCCGACTGATTTTGTATTAAACTCGATACCTAAATGCGTGAACTGATGGGACCAGAGTTTTGATTTAGGTCCACGTTGGTTTTTCTGAGATCCAAGATTCTCAAAAATCCGAAAAATCCTTTCGGATTTTCCGAGATTCTTGGTTTTCTAGAAAACGAATGCCTAATTCAAAAATCTGGTCGGATCAGTCCACGCAGTTAGGTGTCTAGTTTAATACAAAACCAGTCGGAGGTCTCTAGCTTAAAGTATATTTTAAAAAAGTGTCCCACACTGGGCGTGTTCGAACAAAAACCATGTTTTGAGAGAAACGCTATGCATACGTTGGTCTATTTTAGCACATGTAGGAAAATGCTTGTAATTTTTGAACGCAAGATCACACAGAGTTGTGTAACGTCTTATTTTGCTCAGAAAAGTCAATTCTACAAATCTACGTGTTCGGAAAAAATTTACTTGCGTAAGTATCCGCAAGAAAGGTATTATTTGAAGATCCTGGTTTTCACGGTCTCTAGAAAACTTGCTCGAAAACCACAAAAAAAAAACGTTCTAGGCCCGAAAGCGATACAGATTCTGAAAGTAGACACTCCAGGCTATCTCTCCATGTGCTTGTCTCCAAATTGATCTTTTGATACAAAATGATTTCATTCTGACGGGGGGGGGGGGGGGGGGTTAATAGGGCCCCCCCGAGGAAGCCAACGGGGTAAAATGTTTAAGATTTTGAGGGGTTTTTGGTGTGACCGTTTGGGGTTAC